TTAAGGGATGGGATGACCGGTAATGGGTCGAATTGTTGAATGTTAAAATGTAACATTGTTTAAAATGGGGAAAAGCTTGTTTTTGAAAACTTGTGTTTAATTTCGGGGACGAAATTCTTTAAGGGGGGGAGGTTATAGCGATCCCGGGTTTACCCTTGTTATATCGTGATCCGGACATGTGTCCGTGAATGTTGGTAGTTGTTTATTTTCTAGTTTGGACTTGAATTTGAGGCAGAGGAGGTGGATGGAGTTCATCGAGGATTATGATTTTGAGTTGCATTATCATCCGGGAAAGGCCAATGTTGTGGCCGATGCCCTTAGTAGGAAATCTATTAGTGATGTAGCTTGTATAGCCATCCGGGAATGGGAGATGTTGGGAGCACTTGGCGAGTTTGATTTGCTACTGGGCGAATCTGTTGAGACTGCGGCCTTGTTTTCTGTTGTTGCGCAGCCTACACTTGTGATTAGAGTGTTAGAGGCACAGAGGCCTCGAGGGCCAATCCGGGGGCTTCGTCATCCCAGTCTGTGCAACAGTCTTTTGCTCCGAGAGGTGAGCAGGTAGACCAGGGGCCTACGGGGCGCGTGTATGCTGTTACCGCGCAGGATTTAGTACCAGCTCCATCAGTAGTGAGAGGTACTTTTCTGTTTTGCAACTCGGTTGCTAGTGTGTTGATAGACACGGGTGCATCTCATTCTTACATGTAATTTCAAGCCAAGGGCTTAATGTGTAAACGAGTTAGTACTCTTTTGTTGTAACCAAGTGTTAACTTGGAAAGCTGTAAGCCCGTAGGGCATTTTGTTTTGATGTTAACATGTAATACTTATGTAATGAAACTCAATGAAATAAAGAAATGTGGTTAGTTTATATGTAAATGCATGTCTTATCTGATGGGTTTAATGTTATTTTTTGAGGGCGTTACAGCATCTGCTATGTTTGTCATGTAGAATACCATTGGAGACCCCCTTTTTGTCACTTTTACCAAATTATAGCTTTGGTAGGTTGAATAGCAGCTCCATTGGAGATGCTTATTATTATTATTATTATTATTATTATTATTATTATTATTATTATTATTATTATTATTATTATTATTATTATTATTATTATTATTATTATTATTATTATTATTATTATTATTATTATTATTATTATTATTATTATTATTATTATTATTATTATTATTATTATTATTATTATTACATTGGAGATGCTTATTATTATTATTATTATTATTATTATTATTATTATTATTATTATTATTATTATTATTATTATTATTATTATTATTATTATTATATTTTAACAATCCCAATAATATTAACTAAATCTGTAATATTTAGTAGTACCTGCCATAGACTTAAATTGAGCACCTTTATGTGGCAGGAGCAAGGCTAGAAAAACCCTAGACAGAGGAGGAGGTGTCTGTATAAAGCTTGAAAACCAAACTCAACTCTATCCAACAATGGCTGCTGAGAAGATGAGATGGTGCGGCTTCAAAGTACAAGGAGACAAAGATGAAGACCTCAAAAACG